TAATTAAAAAAAAATGCTGCTTCTCTTTTTGTAGGTGGGACTTTATTTAGTAGCTGATTTGGTAACTGCTCTGAATTGATGGATAAATTACACGTGAAAGGCCAGTTTTCAGGTGCAATACATAATGGCCTACTTGTATCCCCACTTTGTATGTTTTTCCTGATCCTTTAGGTAAAGAAAACTCTTAATGTTACTTTCATGTTGCAATCTTCTAGAGATACAGGTGAACAGGCAAGTTTTGTTTAATTAAATTTGAATTAACACTTTTAGCAATAATTTGGACATTGAGTTCTAAAGAAATGTAGTATTTGCTGCATTCTGTTACTTCATTAAAACCCATATGCAATTTCCACTTTTTTTTGCCCATAGAGAGATGCTGCTCTGTGGGTTGCCAAAGCAGCCTCCCCTGTCCCCAGTGAGCCTAGGCCCACCACGGACAGAAGCTGCTCCCATGGCAGCAGCCCATGTCCGCAAGGTCTCTGAACTCTCTGCAGCCAGGGCTGCTACCAACTGAGATACACACACACACACACACACACACACACACACACACACACACACCAAGGAAAGGGGCTGCTGCACACCGTGCTGCTTCCTTTTTACGAGAGACAGCAATGCAAGGTGGCAGAGGGGAGCTGGTTTGTGCGGGAAGCCGGTTTTTAAACTGTCTTGTCTCGCGGACTGGCTCCTGCCTGCCAACCCATGCTGCTGCCTCTGATACACACACACACACACACACACACACACACACACACACACACCAAGGAAAGGGGCTGCTGCACACCGTGCTGCTTCCTTTTTACGAGAGACAGCAATGCAAGGTGGCAGAGGGGAGCTGGTTTGTGCGGGAAGCCGGTTTTTAAACTGTCTTGTCTCGCGGACTGGCTCCTGCCTGCCAACCCATGCTGCTGCCTCTGATAGGGAGGCAGCAGCGCAGAGTAGCAGGGGGCACCCCAGGAGTGGGGCTGGGAGCACACTGCCTGCTGCCCTGCCTCCAGGGACTATTGAATAGTTGCATAACCACTAAAATTTCATGTGGTTACATGACTATTCAATTATGCACGATCTAACATTCCTAATACTGTTCTGTTAATCATAAGCTCTCTGTTGCCTCAGTGTACCTGGTTTATTAAGTTAGCAGCTTTTCTGCTGGCCCATGATTTTGTGGCGGAAAGAAATTAATTATATTAAGAAGCTGATACAAAAATACATGAAGTGCACTTTACTTATATTGTATATAGTGATTACATTAGTCACTTATGAGTACCGTATTTTCCGGCATATAAGGCGACTGGGCGTATAAGACGACCCCCAAATTTTCTAGTTAAAACATAGGTTTTCGCCTATACACGCCGTATAAGACTACTCCCCCTTAAGAGGCTAACCGGCAGTGCCCCAGCTCCTCTGCCCCAGGGTCCACAACAAAAGCCTGGTCTGCTGGGGGGGGAGGGAGCCTCCCCCCCCCCCCCCC